GGAAGCCTCCCTTAGTCCACCGACCTCAGGGGCCTCCTTGGCATAATTTAGACCCACCCCTCAATAAGTCTCCACACCGGTCACAAAGGAGAACTTTATTGATTACAGGGGTAGGGCGGAAACAGGGTAAAAGGTAGAGCAGTGTCATAGGAATATCAGAGGAATCCCATAGAGCAAACCAGGGTGGCTGAGGTAGCCTTTTGATCTCGCATCTGAGTTACTGAAGCTAAATATCTTGTTGGATCTCGAGTAGGTTACTCACTCGCATCGTCCAGAGGTGGTTGGAGTTCCCTCTGGAGGCAGGGCACTCTTGGACCCTGCGGTGATGAGGAGAGAGCCAGGGTCAGATTTCCCTGGATGACCGCATGGCTAATGGCTGCCCTTCTTCCTGGACCGGCCTTTAAATAACCTCTCTGACCTCAGCAGCCCGGTCCAATCGAAGCTGCCAGTGCTGGCCACAAGCCAACCAATTAAAAAAAGCATCACTGGCTACCTGGGCCGCTGAGCGGGGTTCCCCCGCCCCCCTCCCCAGGTGACCAGAGCATCCGCCTGGCTTTTGTCATGCAGACAAGGAGGGAGATCCCTGCCCTGAGGAATTCAACAGCAGCCTCTCACGCTGGCAGAGGCAGATCTCTGGAGAGGGGCACAGACCGTGGCATTTCTGCCACACTCCTCTCTCCCTTGCACTGAAGGTCTGCAGAGGCCGTGCCCCTCATTCCCGTGCTCCATAGCGCCCGCTGCCCCTTTCCTCCATGAATTTGTCCACAGCAGATGGGAGCTGGGTGCAACTGACTGCTCTGTTGGTGGCGGGGTGGCTAGGGCTGGTGGGAGGGAGGTGCCTCCCTCACCCCTTCCTAATAGTGGCCCGGACACCTCACTTGCCTCTCTGCATTGCAGCCATCATCGAGCACGTGCGTGATGGCAGTGTGGTCCGAGCCCTGCTGCTCCCAGATTACTACCTGGTCACCGTCATGCTCTCCGGGATCAAGGTGAGGCTTTGGCTCCGTGTTCCCTTGGAATCGGGTGTCCTGGTTTGCTGTGGGGGCATCCCACTGCTTCTGGGCTGAGTCCCCGTCCTGATCCTGCTCTGACCGGGGTGGCTGCTTTTCCTGGAGGCTATGTGCACTTTGGTGTATTGCCCAAGGAACTCTGCTGTGGGGAGCTCATACCAAGGGTGGCTTGAAAGGATAGGATTCAAGCTGTGAAGGCTGTGTGGCTTTGTCACTCGAGGAGACCAGTTCGGGTGGGGGGGCTCCTGTTCTAGAAGCCACTTCTCAGGGCAGAATGCCCCTGGCACGTGGCCTTGGTGTGAAGATCTTGCATTGCAAGCTAAGCCGGGTCTTCTGTAGCTAGCATTTTGGGTGTAAGACTTTGGGGGGGGGGAGCCCTTGGCAGTTCTTGTTGCGTAGCAGGGGCAGGGACCCAGAGCTGGTGCATGGGTGCATCCCAGCTCTGCAGGGAGGCAGGGGTGCATCTTAGGTCAGACTTAAGCCTGGGGTCTCTAGTTATTGGAGACACCAAAACAAGGAGGGCAGTAACTGCACCTCATTTGTGCGCCTGCCTGGAGCTTCCAGACTGCTCTCACGCATGCAGCTGAGGCCTGACCTTGGCTGGCAGACTTGGTACCGTGGGGGTAGAAGGGAGGTGGGCTCAGGCTGGTGGCTATACCTGTTAGTTGAAGGTATTGATCCTTGGGGCCCAGCCCCAGGGCACCATGTGGGTCACCTCGGTCCATAGCAGAAGCTGTTGGACTGTGTTTGAACCCTGTGGTGGTGTGCAGGTCACGGGCCAGCTTGGGCTGACCTGAGGCACTGCCCTTCCTGGGAGACCTGCCAGCCTTTGGCACCTTGGCACAGTGGGCAAGGGAGGTGCTTGACTTTGGACCTGGACCTCTCTGAATCTCCACAAACTGGCTTTGCTTGGCACCCTATCCAGAAGCATTGGTCCTCCTTCTGCCAAGAGGGTCTGCATCCAGCTTGGATGACTCGGTTGCAGTGCTGTAGCAGGTCACGGAGCTCATCCCTGCCTCGGCAGCTGAGGTCAGGGGCTGTGTCCACCTGGCAGGATGAGTGCTACTTGCAGGGTGATTTGAGGCCCAGTGGAGCTGTCCTGACAGCTGCTGTCTAGTTGCAGGTGTGCTTTGTCTGTAGCTTGGGATGTGCCTGGCACCCTCTCCCTGGTTGTCTTTGTGCCAGGGAGTGCCTGGGGACTCTGCTCCTTGGTGATGCCACCTGGTCAGTGCTGTGGCATTAGCAGCCCTGCTCCCCGGAAGCTGGCTAGCACCTCTGGCGTCCAAACGGTCTATAGCAGCTGGGTGCGGAGCACAGCTGGCTGGAGCAGACAGTGACCGTGCGGCTACCTGGCGCACGGTCAGGGTACTCCGGCCACAGGGCAGAAAGCAACAAAGTACTTCTGTGGCTGGTGCACTTCACCAGCCTGCACGTCCCTGGGGCTCACTGCTGCATGTGCGATAGGCCTGGGCTGCGTTAGGCAGCCATGTGGATCCTACTCTTCCCAGGCACATAGGCCCAGCTTGCCTGCTTTAAGCAGGGAACGGGGAGTTCCCATGGACAGGAGAGAAATGGCTCTTTTCACATGCACGCAGGCGAGTGAGTGAGGGGGCACACAAGGTGTGTGGCCCCCTCATAGGCCTTGAGGCCTGGGGTCAGAGAGCGAGCAGAGGTTTGGGGCTGGCTCTGTGCTGTGTTGAGCCTGCCACCATGAGCTTGCTTTCCTGCAGGCAAGCTGATGCACCGGCCGACCCCTGTGGCTATCTGGTCTGTGCCAAGCCCTTGTTCTGGGAGGGGTTATTACCTCTGAGAAGGGAGGGGTCTGGGTACAGCTATTCGTCCTGTGCCCTCACTCCCCTATGCCCCCGTTGCGCTCCCACCACAGTGCCCCACCTTCAAGAGAGAGGCGGACGGCACCGAGACGCCGGAGCCGTTTGCGGCAGAAGCCAAGTTCTTCACAGAGTCACGGCTGCTGCAGAGAGACGTGCAGATTGTCCTGGAGAGCTGTCACAACCAGAATATCCTGGGCACCATCCTGCACCCGGCAAGTTGGGCTCAGGGGAGTTGGGTCTTTGCCAGGCATGCCCATCCAGGGGAGTCCAGGGACTGGGAGCTGCTTGCGTCTGCGGGCTCTTGGGGCATCTAAGAGGCTCTCAGAGTCAGCTGGAGTGTTAACATCCTGGCTGTTGCCCTTTGGAGTGGCTGTGACCTGCTGCCTCAGGCTGTCCAGGGCACTGGCTTCCTCCTGCAAAGGTTACCATGACTTGTGGGGTCTGAATGAGTCCTCTCCCTCCCAGAACGGCAACATCACGGAGCTGCTGCTGAAGGAGGGCTTTGCACGCTGCGTGGACTGGTCCATCGCTGTTTACACCCGTGGGGCTGACAAGCTGCGCGCGGCTGAAAGGTACCTTGGGCATTGTGGCCTTCGTGGGGCTGGTCCAGAAGCTCCAGGTCCTGGCTTGGGGGCTGGATTAGCTAATGGCATCCCTGGCTGGAGGGCATGGCGCTTAGAGCTGGTGCAGCCGGCACCCTGACTGGGGAGGTCTGCCTTTTTGTGGGGGGGATACCTGACGTCTCCTGGGGGAGAGTGGGGCCAACAGGACAGGGGAGGCTGCTCCCTGCAGCCGGCCCAGTTTGGCTCTTAAGACATGGCATCTCTCTATTCATTGCTGCTTTCCTAAAGAGTTCCCCTTGCCCTTGGCTTGCTGGGTGGTGCCCCTCTGCTTGGCCTGGCTGAGCATACAGCTCTACTAGGAGGGGCAGGTCTCTGCTTGCTGTGCAAGAAGTCCAAGGCTCCAGACTGGGCTAAGAACTGGGCTTTGCAGGCCATCACCAGCCCTGGAGCAATTTGGACCACAGCTTCCCCAGCAGGGGCAGTTTGGTTCCCTGCCAGGCTCGGGCCCCATCAGCTCCTTGTGAAGTCCAGCGGGCCCCTGGTGCCCCATCAGCTTTGTGCGGGATAGGGCAGCCATCTGCCACGTGGTTGGTGGAAGCTGGCTGTGCTACCTGAATGGGGAGATGTCCAACCCAGGTGAGTCACTGTGCTTCCTTCTTGTCGCTAGATACGCCAAGGAACGCAAGCTGCGCATCTGGAGAGACTATGTGGCTCCTACAGCAAATCTGGACCAGAAGGACAAGCAGTTTGTGGCCAAGGTAAGGGCTGTGGGGGCTGTAGGGGGAAGGCAGGACATGTGTTGGTGCGTCTGACCGCCGTCTGTGAAGTGGGACCCTAGGGGACTTTGCTGCAGCTACAAAACAGCCTTCCCCGGTGTTGTTGACTCGAGACGTGCCAGTTCCCATGAAGTGTTCAACGCGGGTCATTGCCTGCTACAGGAGATGGGGCTTGCAGAGCCAGGTGCCCTGTCCTCATCGCCTGCTCCTGGCATTGTGAGCACAGCTGACTGCCATGCATTGTCTTCTGGAGGCGAGTTCGGGCATCCCGGGCAGCTTCTGGACATGAAGCTGTCTCAGAGTGCCCAAGGCAGGTGCAGCTTTTGAGGCTGAGCAGGGAGGAGGTGCCACCCATACAGTGCCGTTGTGCCAGCCTGCAGCCCTTCCCTTTCCGGGTGCACCGTGGAACCGTTCCAAGAGGTCTAAACTGGGCTACGCTGGTTTGAATGTTGTGACAGGACCCCGAGCTGCGACGGTACAAGTTTCCCACGAGCCGAGATCCTCAATTACAACACGGCTAAATCTAGGATTAAAACCCCCTGGCATTAATGGGGGGGAAATGCAATCATGAAACTGGGGAAGACAGAATACAACATGAAGGTTTAAAGCACACCCTCTCCTGACACTTCTCCCTCTCCCCCCTGGCCAGGACTGGCTGCACTGTCCACAGCTGGCTCCAGTAGCAGGCAGGAATCGTTCCTGTGAGCAGCAAACTCCGTGTCCCTGGAGGCCTCGGCTTCTCTGCTGTCTTTAGCAGGGCACCTCTGCGCCACGGCTCCAGGCTTCTCTGCTGCAGTCTCCACGGGGCAGACTCCCTCTGTCTCTGCTCTCTGGGGTTTGCACCATCTGGCTCTGGATTTCAGTAGGCTGCAGGCACTCACACAGGCTCCTTCAAGCTCCAGCTCCCTAGCT